CCTCCTCGCCCTCCTCCCCCCCCCCCTCCCCCTCTTCGTCCTCCTCGTCCTCCTGTTCCTCCTCCTTTTCTCTCTCCGCAGTCTCCTTACATCCTCTCTTCTTCCGCGTTTTCCTCGTCCCCTGTTTGCTCCTCCTGCCTCCCCCTCCTTCCCCAAAATAGCTGCAACGCAATCGTTTTTTCCAATTTATCTTCCCCGCCTTCTCTGATCAAGGCGACTCTCCAGGGCAGAGTTGCTGGGCGGGCTGGTGTGGATGCGCGGGGCTTGAAGAGGTCCTTGCGGGCTCAGACGGCATGCGAAAATCCGCCGCCGCGCTTGTGCGGCATTGGTTTGTTCAGCGAACGTGGTTTAGGTCGCGGGTGGGTCGCGGGCTCTCCACCACCATCTGGGAGGAATGCAAAAGCAGCCCGCCGCAGGCGCCAAACACATTGGTTTGTGCACTGAACGCGGTTTGGGTCGCGGGTGGGCCGCGGGTCCTCCACCGGGAACGAATGCAAAAGATGCCCGCCGCAAGCGCCGAAAAGTATGGTTTGTACCCTGAACGTGGTCGCGGGTGGGCCGCGAGTTTTCCACCTGAAGCGAATGCAGAAAATGCCCGCCGCAGGCGCCAAAAAATGTATTTTGTACCCTGAACGTGGTTTGGGTCGCGGGTTGGTCGCGAGTTGGTCACGGGGTGGGTCGCGGGCTTTCCGCCTGGAAGGAATGCACTATCCCAGAGCGACCCTACCTAGGAGTTGGAGCCCCTAGGAGAGCAATATTCGTAGTAACGGTAAACGCCGTCCTCCTCCTCCTCCTCATCGTCGCAGTTGTAGCAGTAACGGTAGTAGTGTTTTTACACTATGCTATGCTATCCTGCGCTATGCTATGCTATGCAATGCTGTGATGGGCTATGATATGCTATACGAGGCTATGATATGACAGTATATGTTGCGCTATGTTATGATATGATATGCTATGATTTGTTGCGTTATGATATGATATGTTATGCTGTGATGTGTTGCGATATGCAATGATATGGTGCGATGTGATATGCTAAGCAATGCTATGTTATGATATGCGATGCAATGATATGATATGATGTGCGATGATTTGCAGAGCTATTCGATGCTGTGCTATGATATGTTATGATATGATTGGCGATGTTATGCTGTGATGTGCTCATGATGCGATACGCTATGCTGCGCTAAGCAAAAATAAGGTAAGTTTAGCTACACTAAGCTAATGCATGTTAAACTAAGCTAAGCTAGGGTAAGCTAAGCTGGGCGAAGCGAGGCTAAACTAAGCTAAGCGAAACCAAGCCATGATAAACTAAGCTAAGCCAAGCTAAGCCCAGCTAGGCTAAGCTAGAATGAGCAAGGATACGCTTAGCTAAGCTAGGTTAGGCAAAGCTAAGCTAAACTAGGTTAAGCTAAGATGAGATAGGCTAAGCTAAGCTAAGCCAAGCCAAGCTAAGTTTAGCTTGGCTAATCTAAGCTAAGCTGGGTGAACCCAGGGGGCGGGGACTGGGGGAACCGCGGGGCGGGGACTGGGGGAACCGCCCGGGGCGATTTCCATTGCCCGGCCCCTTTAAGCTAAGAAAGCAAGATCCCTTTAAGGCAGAGCCTAGGTAGGGGAAAAAAACCCGCCGCAGGCGCCGAAAATGGTTGTTTGCACCTTGAACGTGGTTTGGGTCGCGGGTGGGTCGCGGGTGGGTCGCGGGGTAGGTCGCGGGTGGGTCGCGGGTGGGTCGCGGGTGGGTCACGGGTGGGTCGCGGGTGGGTCGCGGGGTGGGCCGCGGGCGGGTCGCGGGGTGGTCGCGGGGTGTGTCGCGGGGTGGGTCGCGGGGTAGGTCGCGGGGTGGGTCGCGGGGTGGGTCGCCGGTGGTTCGCGGGTGGGTCGCGGGGTGGGTCGCGGGGTGGGTCGCGGGGTGGGTCGCGGGTGGGTCGCGGGGCGGTCTGCGGGTGGGACGACGACAACAAACAACAACAAATAACAACGAGAATCCGCACCGCGGAATTCCACTTCAGCCACGCACCCAGGGACAGTGAATGACCGTTCGGCCCCCTCACTCTGATCTTATTGGGCCCTATCTCTCGCCTGGCCCCCCCCCCCTGGCGCATCGGGGAATTGTGGCATGAATAGGGGTACGCCAGGTTCGCGTCGCGTCGACTGGCGGCGACCCCGCAGCCGGCGTTCAACTTTAAACGCCGCCAACGACCCAGAATCGGTCGATGTTGAACGATCCCCGCGGTGATCCCCGCGGTGTCAGAGACCAGCGCAGAAGTCGGCAGGACACGAACCTGCCGTGAGGGCATGTGCAAGATGCTAGCGGCCCAGCCCCGTGCTTTCCAATTAGGACCTTCTGGGAAGCCTCCCGAGGGGGGGTACACCGATTGGCAAGGGCTCCCTCGAGGGCGCGAAGTTATTCGCGCTTCGCGGTCCTCGTTCCTTCTCCCCCTCCTCCTCGTCCTCCTCTTCTCCCTTTGGGGGGGCGGCGCGAGAGCGCGAAGTTATTCGCGCTTCGCGGAGCGCGAAGCGCGAAGTTGGGAGCCCTAGGATTGGCCTGTCCCCTCGCCAGGAGCGCCCCGGTCCCCTCGGAAGGCCCCCTTGCCCCCCCCCGCCCCCGCGCCGCCCGACTGTTTCTCTCGATTGAAGTTCGCTGGATGCCGTCGTCGAAGCGGCGTCGATGCTCGATTGAAGTCGCTGAAGACCTCCCTCAAAGCGAAAGTCTGGGACTCGTGTATGCCGTCGTCGATGCCGCCGTTCGCGTCGAGGAGCGTCTGGTGATCAATGAGATAACGGATAAAGCGTCAACTGGCGCTTGGTGGCGTCGAATAGCGTCGATGTAGCTTTGGTCGCCCTCGATTCGCGTCCATTACCGTCGGTCAACAAGATGGTAGAGGAGGCTCCCATGACTTGCCTCCGAAACGAAACCTCCTTCATAGCCCCGAATCATCAGGGATGGGGGTGGTCAGGGGTAGCTCCTGATTCTTGCGTCTGGGCCCCGAACCCGAGTGACCCCAGACAGGAGCTATCCTGAAACAGCTCGGGCGTCCAACGACTCCTGAAACATCGGGGCTGGGGTTGGTCAGGGGTAGCTCCGGCTTCGAGCCTCCCCTGACCCCTTATTCGGGACGATCGAAAGGGATACGGAAAGAATGGATACAAAGTCCAATACCAGTTCTTGTTCATTCTGCAGAGGATTCGTTGTCGGCGAGTCCGCAGTCGTTGTCCATTTGTGACAGAAGCCGCCTGCCCAACTGCGGCCGCTGTCAGTAGTGAGCCCCTGTTGTTGCTGGGCATCGTACCCATTTGTTCCTTACCCACTTCGGGCGCCCAAGCTTATTGAGGGGACTATCAAGCCAGCACACTAGACATTCCTGATGGAGTCCGATGCATCGGCGATGCATCGACGTTCACGCTTTTCGCGTCGCGGTCTGGTAGAAGGGGGAACAGCACACAGACACAGCAACAGAAGTGGTCGCCGATTCCTTGGAAAATGGAACAGATAGGAAGTGGGGGGAGGACAAACCTCTGGAAAATATGGGAAATTATTGGGAATCCTGGGATTTGCGTCTACCTCTTTGTGTGTCCCTGGGCCCCTTCAGTCTGGGCCAGAGATGTTGCCCATCTCTGAGGGGGTGCGGAACGAGGGCGCCAGGGCGCGAAGAGAATCGCGCGTCGCACATGGCGGGGCCCGATGCGCGGAGCGAGGCGACCCAGAGATCCGACGACGCGAAACAAATGGGCATCGTGGAAAATCACTTGGCCCCGCGCAGAAGAGGGTATGGGCAGGGGGAAGGCTTTCTAGGAACACCCCTGCTTCTCAGAGGGCGCGGGCTTGATCTGTAGATGTAAGGCCGGCACCGTCTAAAGAGCTGTCTCCCTTGCGCGCACCGCGAAGTCATCCCGCGCCACTCTTCAAGCCGGATCGATGGTGCCCGAACCCTGGCGAGAGCGCCCGTCCCGCAGAAGGCGCGCCGCCCGGGCCCCCGGGGGCACAGCGATCCTTGCCCCGGGCCGCCCTCTTGGCGGCGCCCGAGCGCCGGCGAGAGGCGCTCTGTGTCTGCTCATGGGCTGTGGCCCCTGCCTCGGCCCCTGGGTGTGGTCGTGATGCTCAGGAGGAAAAGAAACACACAGACACAATTAATCCTCGATTCCCCAGAACATATGGGAAAATATGGGAAGCGGGGGGGAAGACAGAAACCCAGAAAAGATGGGAAAATATGGGGAATCTGTTTATTTGTGTGTATTTATTTGTGTGCCCTGGGGCCCCTTCAGATGCCGCTCCGCGTCCACTGCCAGGCTGCCTCAGCACAGGCTGGCCGCACCGGCCGCTCCCGACGAGGGCCTGCGTGCAGCGAGCGCCCTCCCGCTCTCACCCGCCCCCCGCGGCCGGCCCTCGCCTCCTCCTCCCCCCCTATGTGGCCTGACGGTGAGCGCGCCCGCCCCAGGCAAACCAGAGCGCGCTGCGCGCGGATCGCCTCTGCCGCACCGTGAGGTGGAAAAGGTGGTTCCTGGGAGCCTTGGGCGGAGACAGTGGGATCAGCTGCTGTTCGTGCCTGGGGGCGGCATCTGGGCCGCAGTCGGCCCTTCCTCCAAGTCCCCTCGCCCCCCTCCTGTGCCTCCTCCCCCTCCTCGTTCTTCTCGTCGCCGCGGATGCGGTCCAACTCTGGCCCACATGTGTTCCAGACCCGGTCCAAGTCAGGCCCACATGGAACAGCGTTGAGGGCCTTTGTGGGCCCCGGAAACGTCAGGGCCGTTTTTACACCGTTTCCCAAAAAATGTCTCTTCAAAATGGAAACTGCAAAAAACGGCGACCGGAAACGGCAAAAAAACGGCTCCAGGATTGGAACCGGAGCCGGAACCGTTCAAACAACGGCGACGGAACCGGTAAAAAAACGGCGTCGGAACCGGCATCAAAAACGGCAAAACGGGACCGGTAGCAAAAACGGCCCTGTCGTTTCCAGGGCCCACTAAGTTGAGGGCCACGTAGGCTCCCAGGAATAGACACCACAGAGGCGCTCGTCAGTCCCGTCAGCTTCCCCGCGGGCTACGACGTCGCGGTGGAGCCCGCCGTGCTGGCCGTGGAGCGGCGGCCCGAGGCGGCCCGCGTCCTGCTCACGCCCCTGGCCAACGCGTCGGCGTCACAGGCCTGGCGGCGCCCACAAGCGGGGCCCATTCCGCTCCGACCGATCCGATTCGACATCGGCTCCGGCCCCGATCCGATCGGACATCGCTCCGATGCGGCACCAGTTCAGGCCTCCGATCCATCCGACTCGATGATCGGCTCCGGCAGTGAGGACCCTCGTCGCCGCGGCTGTATTCTCCTGGAACATCTGCTCAGGATGCAGCCTGGGAGAGGTCCGAGGAGGATCGGTAGCGGCCCTTTCTTTTGCCCCCACGGCCAGCCTGCGGGGCCCGCGAGCAGCGAGGAGGCCAGCAGCTCCTCCTGCTCCTCCTCCTCCTCCTCCTCCTCCTCCTCCTCCTCCTCCTCCTCCGTGCGGGCAGGATCCATCACTGAGTTTTTGGACTATCAGGGAAGGGGCGCCATGAGGCCGAGGCGCATTGGACATAGGTAGTCCAGAAGACGATCCTTGGAGCCTCTTGTTGTCGGTTGGCCCGGCTCGCCTGCGTCTCTAGTGGTCCAGAGTCGTTTGCCCGCGCCACTGGAGGCCACTGGGGGCTACGGGAGGCCACTGGAGGCACTTGGAGGCCGCGGGGGGGCCACTGGAGGAGACACTGGAGGCGGTTCTAGGCCTGCGGGGGGCCGCTGGTGTCCACTGGTGGCCATTGGAGGAGCCACTGCGGCCACTCAGGTGATTAGTTACGAAAGGCTCCGAGGAGCGTCTTCTGAAGGATTGAAATCTGGCCCCCAGGGGCCGTGTTTTTATCCATATCCTTTACGCCTCTGTTTTCTGGGGAAGGGATCCCGAAATTCCAAGACGCAGTGGATGTGTTATGAGGAAAATCCTGGAGGCCTCGCGCGCCGCGTAATAGTAGTATAATCTAGTCCACCTGTCAGTTTTGTAAGCTATGGGTCGGCGCTCCCGCGGCGATGCTCCCGAGGCAGTCCGACGCAAATTCGACGCAAATCCGACGTTGCCCGACGCGAACCCGACGTGCATCCGACGTGGGTTCGCCGTGCACCGGGTCTCGAGTGGCCGCGCGGGGCCTCTCGGGAAGAATTCCTCACACGATGCGGATCGCAAAGGCCTCGCCCGCGCACGCCGGGGGTCGCCCTGCCTCCCGGCCCTCTCGGGGAGCCCCCGGGGGGGGGGGCCCTGGGGGCCTCCGTGGGGCCCTACCCGGGGGGCCCTGCTCGGGGGCCCTCGTCTCGCCGCCCTCGGCGGCGGGTCCGGCCGCGGGCCCCCCCCCCCTCCCCCCCCATCCAGGGCTGGACGTAAGTCGGGCCCGTCCCCCTACAGGAGGTTTTCGACGAAGAATTCTTCAAAAACTAAGCAAAAAATAATCAAACAACTAGTCAACAAATAAACCAAACATAGCCCCAAAACCCCAAAAACTAGCAAACAAATAATCCAAAAATAGTCGGGGGATTATTTTTTATAGTCTGGGGATTCTTTTGTTGAATATGTTTGACCCTTTTGGGGTATTTTTGGTGTATGTTTTATCTTTCGTCGAAAATCCCCCTGTAGGGGAACACGCCCGACATAAGGCTAGACCTGCGCGCTGTCTTGCTGGACTTCGGCTGCGTTTTGTCCTTCGTTTTGGCACGGAGGCACGGGAAGAACACACGCAGATACACGCGAAACACGCATTCTTAGCACAGAGAACACAACACAACGTTTGGGTCCAGCCCTGCCCTCATCCCCGCTTGGCGGTGCCTCCCGCAGGGCCTCTCCCGCGACCCCGGCGGGCCTCCCTTCCGAGCCGATCGGTCCGCTCCGATGTCGGCTCCGGCTGGCCTGCTTCGATTCTCATTCAACGGCACCGTAACGGGTATTTACTAACGGGTACTTTGAAATTTTGCCGAAAGTCGCCGATTTACGGTTTTTTTCTTGCATTGCAGCGTTGCCCACATCGGGAAGGGTTGGGTTCGCTGGGTCACTGGCCAAAGTGCCCCTTATTGGAGTCCCCGTTTGAGGGGCGCTGGCTCATTCCGGGGCGATCCGCTGCGGCCCGGCGTTTGCCGTGGCCCCGTTGGGCCTCCTGGCGCCGCCGGCCCGAGTGGATGCCGGCCGGGTCGATGCACGCTCCGATCCGATCTTCAGCACGGACGAAATGGGTCACCACCCACCAAACCACGTCAACCGAACCCGAAGGCCCAAATTTATCCTCGATTTCCAGTGGGGGGGTCGGGGAACACTGGAGAAACACATGGAATCCCTACCCCCCCAAGCCGAAATTCGGGTCCAATTCGGGTCTTCGGGTTGGGTTGGGGTGGTCTGGTAGGTAGTCAATGGGTACGGAAAGAAGCGGTACAGTGCCCAGCAGCAGGTCCTGCTCATTTTGAACAGGACTCGCTGTCCGCGCCGCCGCGGCCTGTGTCCATTTGAGACAGGAGGCCGCCTGCCCAACAGCGACCGCTGTTGGTTTGGGACAACATTTGTTGTTGGGCATTGTGCCCATTGTTTCCGTACCCATTTCTGGCGACCAAAGATCCGATTTCCCCGATTCGAGGTTGATTGTTTCTGTCCAGTGCGGCCCGGTTCGATGCACGCTCCGGTCCGATCCGATTTCCCGGTTCCGTTTCCCGACTCGATGGTTGAGTGTTTTTGTCCAGTGCGGCCCGGTTCGATGCACGCTCCGGTCCGATGAAAACTCCCGATTCCGTTTCCCGATTCGAGGTTGATTGTTTCTGTTCAGTGCGGCCCGGTTCGATGCACGCTATGGTCTTTCCTGATTCGGGGTTGAGTGTTTTTGTCCAGTGCAGCCCGGTTCGATGCACGCTCCCGTCCGATTCGATTTTCTGGTTCCGTGTCCCGATTCGATGGTCGATTGTTTCTGTCCACGATGGTGGTGGCGCGAGGGAGGGCGGACTTCTGTATGGGCCCCAAGAGTATACACCGCCACCACGTTGATTCCTCCTCCCTCCTCCACCCTGATCTTCCTCTCCTCTCTCCTGGGAGAGGGGGGAGATGAGGGAGGTGGTTGTGGTGTATACCTCTGGGCCCAGCAGAGAAGGCATTGAAGGGGGCTTCTTATAGAAGGCAGGAGGCTCCTAGAAGGCCAGGGCCTGTCAGGAGGGCCGGGCGGCCTCCATCGGAGCCTTCCTGGGAGCTTCTAGGCTCAAGTTCAAGCAGTGGCGAAGCGTCCTGGCTCGCCCAAAGCCCTACCAAACAATATTCTAAGAACCTTCTGTGGTTTCCACGAGATGTTCTTAGAACATTTCTGGCGGAGTCTGTGTTGTTTGAACACATCGGGTTTATGATCTGAGAACACTGTGTTTGTTATTAGAACGTTTTGGGGTTCTAAGAGCATTTCGTGGTAGGACTACAGGAATGAATGCCGGGACGGTCGGTCCCTGCTCAACAAGTCGGGCAAGTCCCTCTACAGGAGGGATGGTCACAAATAGGTCAAACATAGAATGGGGGCGATGTTTCGACTATGTTTACGCTGTTTTTGAGCATTTTCTTACCTTTTTTGCATTTCTCGTCCAAGATCCGCCTGTCAGGGGACATGCCCGAGCTAACTCTAGGACCTTCTAGGGAAGGCCCCTGCCCTCGAACAAGCGCCCCCCATGTCTCTCAGAAGGCTGCCCCCACTCGCAACACCTTTTGGGTTGCCGCCAACAGGTGGTGACTGTCACCATCACGCGCCGGAGCCCCGGCGCCGCCAAGGCCGCCGAGGCGCTGGACGAACCCAACCCCAGACCTCTGCCGACGATAGCTGTTTTTATGATGCAGCGTGTTTCCTCGTCCTCGGCCCCAGGGGCCCGCCAGTGGGCTTTGGGACCATCAGCAGCGGATGTGGGGCGAGACGCTTCCCCCCTGGGAAGGGTCGGGACTTTCGGGACCGGGCACTTCACCGAGGGCCTTCCACTACTCGCAAAGTGCTCACTTACTCCGTATTCCATAATAAAGTCGGGGGGGTCACATTTGGGGGGGGGTCTGACTTGAGCTGTCTTGGAGGGTTCGGGGGGGTCTGGGCAAAGGGCCGCCCTTTGATGGATGGTTTGGGGGGTCTGAAACTTCTCGTCTGGGAGGGTTGTGACCCCCTCCCTTTTATTGCGAAATCTGGAGTACAAACGTCCGGAAACAAAATGTCTTCCTCCACGTAATGGAGCGCAAGTCCCCCGCAGCGGACTTTGGCCATTTGCGAGTAGCCTCTCTGCGAGTAGTGGAACGGGCTTGCCGAGCACTGGCAAACTGTGCGCCAGACCATTTTGATGCACGCTGCTGAGCGTGATGGCGCCCGCGGCGGCGTGTACCGAACTCGTTCGGTTCCCCTTCCCTCCGACGTCCTCTGTTGGCTTCGCTTCGCGGCGCGCGCCCCCCCGGGGATCTCGACCCTTTAGCCATGCGCGGGTCTCGACTACTGGGAAGGGTGACCCTTCGCCACCCTTCGCCAGAGTGACCTTTGGTGCGGGCCCACTGGGGTCCCCCGATCGCCGAGCGCGATGCGGTAGTGGCGTCCTGCGCGCTCGTGTGTGGTCCCCACGCGGCCCCTCAACAAGCCGCGCACCAAAGGCCACCCGCATCCAGGGTCACTCCTGCGGGTAGTCGACGGTCTCTCAGCCAGAGCCGTCCTCTCACGGCTCCCCCCGCTTTCGCCGGGAGAAGGCCCCCCACTGGGATCGGCGCGGGGGTTGCTAAGGGGATTGGCTTGTTTGCCACCGCCACCACCGAAGTCGGAGGAGGGAAGGATGTGGAGGAGGAGGAGGAGGAGGAGGAGGAGAAGGAGGAGGAGGAGGAAGAGGATGAGGAGGAGGAGAAGGAGGAGGACCCCGCCCCCTCCTACTTATGGTGGTGGTGCTGGTGGTGTTCGAAAACAGGCCCATTCTAAGGGGACGGGGGGGGGATAATCAGTGGATGGGAATGCCCCAATCGGGCCGGACGAAAGGGGGGGATAGGGAAAGGGGGGGTTATGAAATCTTATGCATGCAGCTGGTTTCGGCCCCACCGAGGGGTCCATTCCTCGATACATGGCCGCCTCTGGCGCCGGGATGCGCTGGGAAAGTCAGCTACGTGAGCTGATTCTCAAACCCCCCCTTTGCTATCCCCCCCTCTCGCCCAGCCCGCCCCAAAAGCGGCTCAGGAGGTTGGATCCCTCCCCGAACTGGGGGCGGAGCCCACCCAGCCCACGTCGCTAACTCGCCTCCAGGCCGCTCGGGGCAGGCGCGGCCCTCCCGACAAGGTAGGCCGGGCCAGGCACAAGCAACCATTGGCATCCACCGGTGTTGCCTCGATCGGGGAAGTGCACACAAGCGCCTCTTTCAGCCCTCTTGGAGCTCCCTCGGGGTCCTCGTGGAGCCTCTGGGGAGACTTTTGAGGCCCTCTCGGGGCTCTCTTGCGGTTTCTTGGTGCCCTTTTGGGGCTCGTTGGGGGGTGTATGGGAGGCCTCTTGGGGCCATCTTGGCCCCCATGATTTCAAAAGAGGTGGGGTGGAAATTCAGCCCCCCCCCCCCCCTGGAGGCCCAAACATTGCGTCTTCGGGCCGTCTTGGAGCACTATTGGGGTGCTGTCGGGCGCTCTCGGGGCCCTCTGGGGCCCTCTTGACCCCTCTTGGGGCTCTCTTGGGCCGTCTTGGGGCCATCGTAAGGCCTCAAGCGAGAAGGCATCAAGGCAAATACACATCGATGTTCTCTAGGTTCTGCGGCCATTTTGGCCTCTTGGGGTGGTCCTTGGACAGTTCGGAGGGCACTTGAAACCGTCTTGGGGCCGTCTTGAGACCTCTTCGATGCTTGTCGCAGGCTATCCTGAGCCATCTTAAAGTATTTTGAGCCATCTTGGAGACCAACTTGTGCTTTCTGTGGCCCTCTTGGAGCCATCTTGGGCGTTCTTGGAGGCTCTAGCTCCTCGCGCCCCCCACCCCTCCCAGGCCCAGGGGAGGGGGTATGGGAAGGGGCAGCCCAGCAACCCGGCATCCCCGAGCAAGGGAAGGAGGGATATTGGCAGAGATGATACAAATGGTGGGTTTTTTCCTTTAGCCAGCCCTGCGCCGATCTCAGCAGGGGCCGCACGCGTCAAACAATCGGCCGCCGCGACTTATGCCATGCCTCCCGGATCTGAGGGGTCGGGCGTCGTGAGACGTGAGTTCGCCGGAACTCGGGTTTGCCGACGCCTCTTGACGAGCCCGTCCTGGGTTTTGACGTTCCGGTGTGTGTGGGGCGTCAGTAGCGGGAGGTTGCGTCAAATTTCGCTATGGCTGGGTCTCGTCCTTCTCTTGGCGGTCCCGTCGGGCCAAGCCGAGCCCCCCTAACCCAGACATGCCCGCGTCGTGAAGTCGTCGTGGTCGTCGTTGTTGTCAACGTTGCTGTCGTCGTCGTCGTCGTCGTCGTCGTCGACGTGGTCGTGGTCGTGGTCGTCCCCGAAAGAGGTGCTGGTGGTGTAGGGTGGTGCCCCCGCCGCGCCGCCGCGGGCCGGCAGCGCCAGCGCGGGGCCCTGGCCCGCCGCGCCGCGCTCCCCCCCCTCCCCAAGGCCCTGCAAGCCTGGACGCCCGAGAGGGGTACGGTAGGTCTGCGTCGTGTCGACCAGCGGCGACCCCAGCGCGGGCGTTCAAGGTTGAACGCCGCCGGCGACCCAGAATCGATCGATGTTGAACGATCGGACGTTGCGGAGACGGCCGATCGTTCAAGGTTGAACGATCCAGCGCGGTGTCAGGAACCAACGCCAGGGTCGACACGGCACGGACCTGCAGTACGGAAAGGAGGGGCGCAGTGCCCAGCAGCAGGTCCTGTGCATTTTGGAACAGGACTCGCTGTCCGCGCCGCCGCGGCCCGTGCCCATTCGAGGCAGCAGGCCGCCGGCCCAACAGCGGCCGCGGCTGGTTTGGGACGACACTCGCTGTTGGGCATCGTGCCCGTTCTTTCCGTACCCCTTTCGGGCGTCCAAAGCAAGCGGGGTGTTTGCAAACGGGGTGGTAGCTGAGGGTGCGTTTTCAGCTGCACCTTCGAAAATGGATCTGCTCCGCGCAGGTGCGAGGTAATCCCCCCTCCCAGAGGGGCACGATGTTGTGTCGACGATCTTTTGTCGCCCCGACTCCATCATTCACTGGCGCGAGGTGAGTGCCCTGTCGCCTTGGCTTCGCTCGCGGAGGCCCCCCAGCTACAGCCAACCCGCATAGCAAGGATGCGGAGCCTTCCCGAGGTTCCCCTTGCGTCCTTGCCCCTTCGGCCCGTCCTGGGCGACCCTCGCTGACCAGCCTCGCCCGAAAAGCGCCAGCGTGGCCCTCCTGGGCTCAGGCCCTTGCAGCCTTACCGCGCATCCTTGCTGCATGGGTTGCCTGTGACACCCCGTTCACCAACGCCCCGCCTGCGGGGCTCTTGGCCCCCTCGCAGCCGAGCCCCGGGCGGCCGGCGGGGCGGGCGCGCGGCGACGCCGCGGGGGCCGCGGCCTCCCCCTCCGCTGCAGTGCGCCTGGGCCTCAGGGGAGGGTGGCGGCGAGCTTAGTGGGCCCAGAAATGTCTTTGGAGCCCTTGGGGCCCTCTGGGCCTCGTGAGGGTTGATCTGGAGGCCGGATCGAAATCTGGCCGCACGTTTATGATAGGGCCGCACAGGTCGGCAGAGGCTCCCATGAAGGCTCGCACATCCGCAAGCGTGGGGCAGACGACGTACAGTAGGGTAGGTTCGCGTCGTGTCGACTGGCGGCGACCTCGCCGCCCCCAGCGACCCAGAATCGGTCAACGTGGAGCGAAATAGCGCTTCGGAGACGGCCGATCGTTCAAGGTTTAACCATCCCCGCCGTGTCACAAACCAGCGCCGAAGTCGGCAAGTCACGAACCTGTCGTAGCCACGCGTGCGCCATCGGTGAATTTCGTTGCATCTAGCGATGCCCACATGGACCTTCTAGGAGGAAAAGGTGCCGATGCTGCTGCCATGGCCTCGTGTGTTTTTCTTTTGTTTTTGGAACCTCCTGGGAGGCCCTCGTCGTCACCGCGGGACTCGCCTCGAAATCCTGAGAGGTCTGGGCAGCGGCGGCATATTTTTCATGTTGGGTTCCCCCGTTGATTGTCTGGGTCAGCAGCAGCTTCGTGGTTTTCCAGTCGGGCGTGTCCCTCTACAGGAGGAGTATACAAAAATAATGAAACATAAGCTGGCGACGGTTTTTTTTAGTATGTGTTGTTTTTTCTTGCATTTCTGGGGTACTCGTAATTTTTTCACCCAAAATACGCCTGAAGGGGGAGATTCCCGACCTGAAAGAAGTCGCGACGACCTGTTTTCGGCTGTTTTCGATCGCCTTGGGCCCCCGCTTGGCCCTGGGACCGTCAAAGAGACGACTCGGGATGAAAAGCGGGTCGAGGGGAAGGGGTCGAGTTTTTTGGAACCCCGCGCTGAGCAAACATCCATCGACGAAAAAAACGCGCCATGAACATAAACTTTTAACACTCCGCGCGGATGTGTTGGATCCGCGCTAGGCCCCCTTGGCGGCGCTTCCGTCGCCACCCCTAGCGCGTTCCGCGCGCCGGGGGGGTCGAGACAGGCCTTCCACCCGGGGCGCCCTGCGCCCCCTCTACAGTGCAGCATCGAGCGCACAGCCGGTGCGCCGTTGGGCAGCGCGGGTCTCTGGCACGAGCGGTTCCCCACCGCATGAGTAAAACCATTCTACAGGGAGCTGGACTCGGCGATGCCGCGCCCCTTTGAACTGGGGGGGCGCGTGCAGCCATGGCCCTACCGCAGGGCATCCATGCCAACGAACCCCTTCCGAAACAGTTGGTGGCCGACTCTCACACCCGCACGGGTTCCATGATGGCGCGGGGCCCAGGCGCGAGGGTAGCTTCGTTCGGGAACACCCGAACGATGTGAGCCCCTGCCATGAGCGCCCGCCCCGTGGACCCCGTTTGGGCGTAAGGGTCGGGCTCGCCATTGGTCGCGTACAGGACCAATTTCGGGCCGACGTGCTGCCGAAGCTCGCGTCCCTCCTCGCCCTCGACGGGAAGGAGGCGACCGCGGGCCAACTCGGCGACCCCTGTCTCACAGCGGCCCTGTACCTGGCCAGGCCGCATCCAAGCGGAGAGAGAGAGGCTCCACGTGGGGTTCTTCGAGGAGCTAGGGGGGGCTCGCGCAGCGCCGCGCCGCGCCGTGCGGCGCCGCGTTGCGTCGTCTCGCGCCTCGCCGCGCCGCGTTTTGCCGCGCGCAGTGGGGAAAAGGGGGTGGGTGGATGGCACGGGGGTGGGGCGCGGAGGAGCGACGGCGGTTCCTCCCCAGGAGCAGATCCTCAAGGCGTTGTCCTCCTGGCAGAAGTGGGTTAGCCAAAGCCTCGCGGTCCTCGTCGAGTACAGTCCCCACGGCTTGAACGAGCAGTGGCGACGGCGACGGCGGCGGCGACGGCGACGACGACGACGGCCGAGTCGCGACGACCGAACGAACGCGCAGACAGCGGCGGCGAGGGCGACCGAGCAGCGAAGCGACGTGGCGGTCGGAGTGGACGGGGCGCTACGCGGCGGCGACGCGACCCGGCGGCGACGCGACGAACCGACCAGTCAAGCGAGCGCAGGCCGTGTCGGATCCGACCAACGCCAAACTCGACGGTCGCAAGAAGTGCTTGGAGCTGGCCCGTTCCTCTTTCACGGCCGAGCGCCAGTTGGACAATGCGTCGCGGGTTCGGGGGGGGCGGGAGAAGGGGGGGGGTGGCGCGGGCGCGCGTCCACAGTTCTGGGCTGGGGTCGTCCTGCGCGCAGACGCGGCGCAGCATGCGCGGCCCGCCCGCCAGCGCGCGCGCGCGCTGCGCCGCGTCTGCGCGCGGCGCAGCGTCGGCGTACGCCGTCGGCGAATTTCGTTGCGTCTAACGATGTCCACTTGGACCTAGAGGGTGGAGATGCCGACGCTGCTGCCAGGCCCTCGTCGCCGCCGCGGGACTCGCCTCGAAATCCTGAGAGGTCCGGGCAGCGTCGTCGCGCGTTTCATTCTGCGTTCCCCCGTCGACGTGTTCGGGCCAGCGGCAGCTTCGCGGCGCGTCCCTACGCAGGGGCTGCGTTCAACAAGTTGCGAATGGCGAGTAACAAGCTGTCGACGCTTTCTGTAGCATCGGTTGCTTTTCGTTCGAAATCCGCCTGGAGGGGGAGGTGTCCGACCTCAGAGATGGCGCGACGAACGGTTTCCGGCTGTCCTCGATCGCGTTGGGCCCCCGTTTGGCCCCGGGGCCGCCGGAGAGACGACGTGGGACGAGAGGCGGGTCGCGGGGAAGGGGTCGAGTTCTCCGGGGCCCCGCGCTGAGCAAACATCAGTCGAAGAAGAAAACGCGCCATGAACGTAGTTGACCATTTAACACTCCACGCAGATGTCTTGGATCCGCGCTGGGCCCCCCTGGCGGCGCCTCCAGAGCCGCTCCTGGCGCGCCCCGCGCGCCGGGGGGGGGGGGCGCGGCGCCGTTCCAAGGATTTCGCGCAGTCGGCCGTAGAAACCGGCGTCGGCTTCGCCGGCAGTCGCGCGAAATTTGCCCGCGCAAGGTCTCGCGCCAGCGCGTTCGTCTCCAACGCAGCGCCCCCCGCGGGCGGCCCGCGCTATCAGGCCGCCGCGCGAGGTCGCTGCGTCGCCGTGAGCAAGGCCAGTCTACGATCGCCAGTTTGGAGAGGGCGCTTCACATAATCACGCAAATAAGACAAATCGGCACACGCTGTTTGTTGTAGGTCCGCGGGGGTGTATTGGATCGGCGCGCGTTCCTCCTGGCGGCGCCCCCGGCGCCGCCCCTGTCGCGCTCCGCTTGCCAGCGGCGGGGCCCCGGCGCTGGTCCAAGACATCCGCGCGGGTGTTTGAAATATATATTGTAGTTGTTTGTTGTTTTCCTTCGGCGCGCGCCTCGCAAGTCCTGCCAGGATAGACAAGATCTTGCGCAATCAGGGTGTCCCTTTGTCTTGTCTGTTCGTGTACGGAGCACATGTTTCCCTCGGGCTTGGGTCGCGCCCTGTCGGTTGTTTCCTGCAGTCAGTCTGAGCCGACTGGCCCGTTCCTACGTACGCAGGATGCCCATGCGTTTTTAGGGCAACATCCAGAGAAAACGACCGCTATATGTTCCAGAATTCTCGCGCAATCGCATGGTGACATCGATCTTGTCATGGAAGAGCCCCCGAAACATAAACATATATACGTTTGTAGGTCCGCGCGGATTTCGCGGGTCGGCTCCGGAACCCCTTTTTTCCCACATGTTTCGTGGGGTTTGGGTTTTCTTCCCACCCGCGCCGCACCCGCGTCTCACCCGCACCCGCCCTCCTCCCCTCCTCCTCCTCCCCCTCCTCCTCACGCACACAGCACAGCGCAGCGCAGCGCAGCGCAGCGCAGCACAGCACAGCACAGCACAGCACAGCACAGCACAGAACAGCACACACACACACGGCTTGGCACGTGCGGCACATTCTCGACGCCATAGGGGTCGTCCGCGGCACAGCAGGCGTGGCAGTTTTGCACAGCACACCTGCGCAGCACACCGCAGCATAGCACAGCACAGCGCACCGCAGCACAGCACGGCACGGCACAGCACAGCACATCGCAGCACTGCTCAGCACAGCATAGCACACAGGGCAGGCGCGCAGGGCACGGCACGGCAGAGCGTGGCTGGGGTGGCACTTTCTCGACACCACAGGGGGTGCGCAGGGGGTGGTCCGAGAGTTCGGCCGCTATGCACGACGGTTGTCCAGGCACAGCAGGCGTGGCACTTTCTCGACACCAGAGGGGGTGCGCAGGGGGTGGTCCCTGAGCTCGGCCGCTATGCGCGACGGTCGTCCAGGCACAGCAGGCGTGGCAATTTCTCGACACCATAAGGGGGTGCGCAGGGGGTGGTCCCTGAGCTCGCCGCTATGCGCGACGGTCGTCCAGGCACAGCAGGCGTGGCTCCTTCTCGACACCAGAGGGGGTGCGCAGGGGGTGGTCCCTGAACTCGCCGCTATGGAAGACGGTCGTCCGAGCACAGCACGCGTGGTACTTTCTCGACACCACAGGGGGTGCGCAGGGGGTGGTCCCTGAGCTCGGTCGCTATGCACGACGGTCGTCCAGGCACCGCAGGCGTGGCACTTTCCCGACACCATCGGGGGTGCGCAGGGGGTGGTCCCTGAGCTCGCCGCTATGGACGACGGTCGTCCAGGCATAACAGGCGTGGCACTTTCTCGACACCACAGGGGGTGCGCAGGGGGTGGTCCCTGAGCGCGGCCGCTATGCACGACGGTCGTCCAGGCACAGCAGGCGTGGCACTTTCTCGACACCAGAGGGGGTGCGCAGGGGGTGGTCCCTGAACCCGGCCGTTACGCACGACGGTCGTCCAGGCACAGCAGGCGTGGCACTTTCTCGACACCATAGGGGGTGAGCACGGGGTGGTCCCTGAGCTCGGCCGCTATGCGCGACGGTCACAGGCACAGCAAGCGTGGCATTTTCTCGACACCGTAAGGGGGTGTGCAGGGGGTGGTCCGTGAGCTCGCCGCTACGCACGACGGTCGTCCAGGCACAGCAGGCGTGGCACCTTCTCGACACCATCGGGGGTGCGCAGGGGGTGGTCCCTGAGCTCGCCGCTATGGACGAATGCCGCTCAAACACAGTAGGGGTGGCACTTTCTCGACACCATAAAGGGGGTGCGCAGGGGGTGGTCCCTGAGCTCGGCCGATATGCGCGACGGTCGTCCAGGCACAGCAGGCGTGGCACTTTCCCGACACCAGAGGGGGTGCGCAGGGGGTGGTCCCTGAGTTCGGCCGCTATGGACGACGGTCGGCCAGGCATAGCAAACGTGGCACTTTCTCGACACCATAGGGGCTGCGCAGGGGATGGTCCCTGAGCGCGGCCACTATGCACGACGGTCGTCCAGGCACAGCAGGCGGGGCATTTTCTCGACACCCTCCTCCCTCCTCCTGCAGCACGGTCGTCGACCATCCCTCTCCTCCCTCCTGCTGCCACTGCTCCTCCTCCTCGGAGGCCCGGGCGCCGCCGCCGCCGCCGCCGCCGCCGCCGCCGCCGCCGTCGTCGTCGTCGTCGTCGTCGTCGTCGTCGTCGTCGTCGTCGTCGTCGTCGTCGTTGCCGTCGTCGACGATTGTTGGAGTGACTCATCTGGTTGGTTTGGCTGGTCTGCTTGATTGGCCTGGCTGGCTGGTCTGATTACTTTGGCTGGTTGTGGCTGGAATGATCTGACTTGTCTGGTCAGTCTGGCTGGTCTGGCCCAAAAAGGCGAAGCGGGATGTGACATGGTTTGTGAACACACGTGACATGAAATAAGTATGTGGGGTTCCTCGATAGCGTATTTTTTTGCGGCGTCTCCGTCGCCACTTCTTTTGCGCGCTCTTCGCGCCGTCGAGGGGGGCCCGGCGCCGGGCTTGCAGGAGGTCCGCGCGGATCTCCGACGTTTACGTTTATGCCGCGTGTTGTTCCCTTACGGCAGTTTCGCGTCTTGCCGAGGCGGCGCCTACCCAAGCGCGGGCGCTCAAGATCGAAACCCGCCGGTGGCCCGGAAGCGGCCGATATCGAGCGACGCGGGGTGTCGGGAAGCCGTGGCTGGTCGAGCCTGAACGATGGGCGCGGCGTCGAAGCCAACGCCGGCGTCGCCACGGCATTGTTTTGACCATCCGCAGGGCCGCCATGCCGTGATTGCGTTTGTCTCTCTGTGTCTCTGGATTCAAAGGCAATCCAAACCGGAGGTGGATAGCTCCCACCCTGACGCGTCGATGAGCAAATTTGCCGTTTTCGGTTCGCGAGAGGGCGTCACGGCCTTCATTTTTTGGCGGGTCCAGGTCCGTCGGTTTCGGTCCCAGGCTGCTTTCGCTAAGGGGAAGTTTGCTGAAGGGAGGTTTGTCCACCGCCGAGTAGAGGGGGGCATGGCTGAGGGGGGGGTGCGTCGACCCCCACTCGCCTGGCTGCCTGTTGCCATCCGCAGGGCCGTCTTGCCGTAGGTGCACATGCCTTGCTGTGTCCTGGGTTCCAGCGCGACGCAAAGGGGCGCATGGCTCAGGGAAGGGCGCATCGACCCCCCCTCGCGCACTCCTCGTCGCTTGGGGCCCGAAAGGGCCCACCTCGCCGAGGCGAGCGCGCAGAGATTCGCAATATCGGGGGGCCACCGCCGACCCGTCGGCGATAGGCACCGCCCATTTCCAGCCCGGTGCTCTTCCCCCTGAGCCGGTCCCCCTTAACGTGTCCCCTGAGGTCGTGATCGGGACAACTCTTCGTGACGGCTGGGGGCCCCCGGGCGGGGTGGTGACCACACCGTGCGGTGAGTCGGTGGGGATTCGGGGTCACCGCACGGTTTGGGGACCCGGGTCCTTTTCCGAGGACGTCTCGGGCGACAGGGGCATGCGAGGTCCCAAGACCGTGCGTTGACGGACCGCGCGGTGAGATTTTGGGGGATTTCGAGGTCACCGCACGGTCTGTCGCCGCACCGTTTCGGGACATCAAATCGTGGCCGAGGTTCGCTATTGCCAGACAGCCCATCTCTGCGTGGCTTTCAGTTCTTCAAATGGCAGTATAGAAGAAACTTCTCCGAAGTCGTGGACAGGCTCCCGCAGCGGCCCAACAATCCGTACCACCACCACGGTCTAGTTCGATTCGACCGATACGATTCGATGTCGATTCCGGCTCATGGATCGTCAGCCCCCCCACATTCAGTTGGTTGCACATACTGGGAGTCTTGGCAACCCTCGCAGTTCCGTCTCTGGAGTGCACTGGCGTCGATTCAGCGTCTGGCAGTCGACGAAACGGCCCCATCCTATAGCGCTGATCCGCAAGAGCCAGCACGATGGTATGGTAGGCTCCCGTGAGTGATCACCGAGGAGGAAAAGGAGGAGGAAGAGGAGGAGCAGGAGGAGAAGGAGGAGGAGGAGGAGGAGGAGAAGGAGGAGGATGGGAGGAGGAGGAGGAGGAGCAGGAGAGGAGGAGGAGGAGGGTGAGGAGGAGGAGGGGGAGGAGGAGGAGGAGGACGATGAGGAGGAGGAGGATGGTTGGGGAGGAGGCGGAGGAGGAGGAGGAGGAGGAGGAAGAGGAGGAGGAAGAGGAGGAGGAGGAGAGGCGGGGGATCAGGAGGAGGGGGAGGAGGAAGAGTATGGGGAGGAGGAGGAGGAGGAGGAGGAAGAGGAGGAAGAGGAGGAAGACGAGGAGGAGGAGGAGGAGGAAGAGGATGAGGAAGAAGAGGAGGAGGAAGAGGAGGAGGAGGAGGAGAAATAGACGAAGAAGCAGAAACAACAACAAAATAGGAAGCATAATAATAAGAAGAAGGAGGAGGAGGACGGCTGCGTCGGAGCCCGCTGTGCAGGCCCCGCGCGTTTCGTGCATGCCCGCGGCTGCGTGTCCTTCTGCCCGCCGTCGTCCGGCCAAAGCGCCGGCCAAATCGGGCGGCGGACGCCACTCGCAGGGCGGGAAAGCGATCCCCATGGCCAAGACGAGGGCTGTATTACTCAAGCAGTGGCGAAGCGTCCTGGCGTTCCATAGGCCTACCAAGCAATGTTCCAAGAACCTTTTGTGGTTTCCACGAAATGTTCTTAGAATTGTTCTGGCTGGGACAGTGCTGTTTTAACACATCGGGTTTACGATGTGAGAACATTGTATTTCTTATTCGAACAGCGCTGGGTTCCAAGAGTGTTCCGTGGTAGGCCTATAGGAATGCCGGGACGGCCGGTCCCTGCTCAACGCATGGTCCCACGATAACGATAACCTTGGTCATGACATTGCGGGCCCCAAAAGTATACACCACCGCCGCCTCCATGCTCGCAAACATGCAAAACATTATTATTTTGAGGTTCTCAGATCAATCTCAAAACAATATCATAAATGCCATTGCAATGTTATTATTATTTATTGTATTATTTGAGGTTATTTGCAAAATCAGTAGTATCAAAACAATGCAAACGTGCTCAGATCTCTCGGATCGGCTCTGGGCCCCCCTGGCGACGGTCCAGGACATCCGCGCGGAGCTCCAAGAGTTGATGTTGATACCATTGTCTTGTCCCTCAGGAGGAGCAGGAGGCTGGGCAGTGCTGGCGCAGTAGCTGGGCGCCTTCTACTCCCCCCTCTCCCGCTTCTTCAACGCCTCCCCCCCCATCTTCCCTCCGCTCCTCCGCTTCCGATTCCTCCACTCGGGCCGGACGAAAGGGGGGGATTGGGCAAGGGGGGGTTACGAAATCTGCTGCATGCAGCTGGTTTCGGCCCCACCGAGGGGCCCATTCCTCGATACATGGCCGCCTCTGGCGCCGGGAGGCGCCGGGAAAATCAGCAACGTGAGCTGATTCTCAAACCCCCGCTTTGCTATCCCCCCCTGTCGCCCGGCCCGATCCACCCTCCCCAGCGAGAGCAAGGAGGCGGAGGAGAGGTGGATGCGAAGGAGAGGGGAGGATGTTTGGTGCTGGCAGTCTCTCAGCACACGCTTTCAGTGAAAGCGTGTGCTGAGAGAACTGCCAGCAAGTGTGGGGCTGCGAAGTGGATTGCAAGTGTGTCATGATTGTGCGATTGATGATCGCGTATGTTCCCAAACAATGGACTATCGACCCCCAAGACAGATTTGGAATGGGTCCCGCAACTCCCCAAAAATGTGAATCCACATTTTCCTTCTTTCTCACAAAATGAATTCACATTTTCCTTTTTCCCAAAATTTGGAATCACATTCTGGCCCCCTCATCAAGATTTCTACACACAATTTCAAAATGTGAATTCACATTTTCCTTTGTTCCCAACATGTGAATTCACATTTTCCTTTTTCCCAAACTGTGAATTCACATTTTGCTTCTCCCCACAATGTGAATTCACATTTTGCCCTGGCCTTCAAGATCCCCAAAACTGAGTCGCAGTGTTCCGCATGTCAGATTGGCTGGGCAGCTTTTGACCCTCACCTCACCGCTTTCGTTTATTTCAACCGTGTCTTTTGCGCCCTCAGCGCACGTTGCTTTCGTCGCCTGTCCCGAGCCCCCCGCTCCCTTGCCTCGTTTCCCTTCAAGTCTCGCGCATGGGTGCAGGCGGGGAGCTTCACTTGGCACCCCCGCTGAACACAGCAATCGAGGATGCATCTCCCATGCATGGCCCATAAAGACACCATGGCTGGGACCCTGCGCCCGACCCCCACTTTCACCCTCCAATTCACGCTGGACCGTTTCTGCCGTGCTTGCTGCCGATGTCTAATTCTCAGCCGTGTTGCCCGTCACCTTTTTCTCACAATGCGTATGAGCAGTAGCCTCGGATGTGGTAGCGACACGGGGACGCGCAGCGGCTTTGGCGGCGCTAGTACCAACAGCGGCGAAGGCAGCAGCCACTTTGGCAGCATCATCAGCAGAGGCAGCAGAAAAGCTGCAGCGGTATCCTTTTCGGGAGCGGAAGTGGGACAGCCATTGCATCTCCGACTCTTCGGCACGTTGTTGGGCAAGGATGAGCGACATAGAGAACATTTGGTTGGTTGCGCGGATGTTCGTGCTTAGGCAGCCAATGCAAGATCGCCGTGCAAGCACATCCTCCCCGACGTGGCTCTGTGCTTGTGCTGGCGGCCCGCGATGAGACACCACGTAAGGACTCCATGCCATCGGGCATAAGCCCTTTTGTCTCCGCTCATCGCTTACTTAGGCGCCCGAAGGCCTTGCAACATTGCCTCTCTTCCGCAGCTTCAGCTGGTCGTGGTGGTGGTGGTCGTCGTGGTCGTCGTCGTGGTTATGGTCGTCGTGGGCGTGGTCGTGATCGTGTGGTCGGTCGTGTTCGTCGCCTGCGAGTGTGGCGTCGGGGCGCGGCGGCGGCGGCGGCACCCGGGATGGCCGCGGGCGAGGTCCACCTCGGCAAAGAGCTGCTTGAGGAATAAGCCCAAGCCGGAGGCGGGCCCGGGCCGTGCCGAACTTCGGCGCCGCATCGCTGCGTCGTGCAAGCTTGAGCGCCGCCAGCGGCACAGGATCGGCCCGCTCCGAACCATCGGCGCTGAAGGAAGGCTGCGATTGCTCAAGTCGGTGGCCACATGCGAACCCCACCCCCACTCCCCCCCATTTCTGGGGGGGGGTGGGGGTTCACTTCGTTCGGGAGCTCCTGAGCGGAGTGAACCCCCACGCCCCCTCAGAAGTCGTGGGGCGTGGGGGTGGGGTTCGCATGTAATTCCCTAATGCGACGTCGCAATGCCAAAGATCAATGATGCAGCTGCTTGCGCGGAGCAGTGCGATGTCGAGCCGACTGCGGGCAGCTGGTGATGTGTGCCTTCTGCGGACAAGCCGTCGGCCGCTTATCGTCCAAATGCACGAGCTACCATTCGGGGAAGGGACGTACGGTAGGTTCGTGTCGTGTCGACCGGCGGCGACCCCGCCAGCGGCGTTCAACTTTGAACGCCGCGGGCGTCCCAGAATCGTTCGATGTGGAACGATTTGGACGTTTCGGAAACGGCCGACCGTTCAAGGCTGAAGCGGTGCACACGTGTGGCCACCCCTCACGGTGGAACGGTCCATGCAGTGTCAAAAACCAAACGCCAGCTTCGTCACGTGACGAGGCCGCCGTGGCGCCCGCCGGCGGGGCGAGGCCCAAAGGGGCCCGGGTGTCTGGCGGCTCGAGTCGGGTCGGGCATGTCCTCCTGCAGGGGGATGTTGGGCGAAAGAAGGTAGAAACATGTCAAACGAAACTCACTAGAAACAGCTGGTTTTCAACAACTCGTCCCCAGATTATTGGTCTGACTATTTTTGGAGATTCCTCCAATAGAAGGACACGCCCGACTGAAGGCTAGGGGGAAGTGCACACGGCAGTTCGGGCGCGTGGGTCGGAGCAGCTGCAGCGCCACAGGCAGAAGCGTTCTCGAGGTCCGCGCTGGCGTCTTGGGTGCCGGATTCGTTAGGCCTCCCGGAGTCCGAGTAGCCGGGGTCGGTGGATCGCGCCGCATCGCCGTTGCATCGACGATGCTGCTCGATGCGGAGCCCGATTTTCTCCACGCCGACGTCGCCGATGCATCGCCGACGTGGCCGATGCAACGCCGATGCATCGGCGATGCGGCGCCATCCTTCGACCCCATCAAGTCGGACTCCTTCAAGAAGGCTTCTGTTGAGAAGCGTTCTGAAGTCAGCCGGACTTTCCTTGATCCGCGATGGACCCCTCCCCCGCGGCGCCTCCAGCGCCAGGGAGGGGGGTCTGGCGCCGACCCTTGAAACCCATCTCAGGAAGTTTTAGTTTTTGTTTGTCGGTTTTCCATTGGAGATGTCCGGACCCCAAAGGCCTTCAAAGAACGTCTCGGGATAAAGATCATGCCCTGGGGAAAGGGAGTCGAGGGGCATGACGGCCCCTGCGTCGAACACGGCGGAGCCGCCAGATGTTCGGGGATGAGACGGAGTGGGAGGGTAGTTTCCGCAGGCTTTCGGTGGCCTCCAGAGGTTCTCGGTTCTCGGCTTGTCTTTGTTGTCCAGTGGCATCCAGCACGTTTCTGGGGATCTCGCAGGGTTTTGCACAGTTCACGAAGGAAAAAACACACACAGACACAGAATCGTCGATGTGAAAATATAGGAACACCTGGGAAGCGGACAGGGGGGGCGGAACTCCAGAACGCTTCGAATGATACGAGGAATCCTTGGATTTGTGCGTATTCATTTGGGTGCCGATCTGGCGCGTGTCGATCCATCAGCAAGCAGCAGCGACGGGTGCTTCCCCGAGGGGCACAGGGGCGAGCAGGGGGCCCATGCCGAGCAGCGAGAGGCGATCGGCGCACGCCCACATGTCCGCAAGCGGGAGCAGGGAACGCACCGTTCACCAACCAGGCCGCAAGGCACAGCCCCCCGAGGGGTGGAGGAGACGCCAATGGTCCTCCTCCTCCCCCTCCTCCTCCTCCTCCTCCTCCCCCTCCTCCTCCTCCTCCTCCTCCTCCTCCTCCTCCTCCTCTCCTCCGCTGGGGTGGAGGAGACGCCAATGGCGGAGGAGGAGCGGGAACACGGCCACCTCGACAGTCCCCCGAACTTTCGGCGGGGCAGGAATGGAATGGAATGGAATGGAATGCCCTCGAAAGGGGGAGTGCACAGCACTAAGGTTTGATCAAGTCAGAGTGACTAACCAGCTTGTCTGGCTTCCTTCGCACGTATTCGGTCCAACAGGGCCGCCATTCTTTGCTCGTAAGTGGGTGTTTCCCTGGAGGCCGAGAAAACAACTGGCACCACCGTGAAGTCAGGCATGCTCACCGAGGGGGCCGACTCGACCGAGGAGGCGAGCGAGGGGAGGCCAAAGCTACGTCCCAAGAGCACCCGTACTCGACGGTTCGGCGGCTTACCCTGGTAATAACGCCTTAAAACCTCCTGACCTTTCTTAGTGGGCTTCTCATCTGGCCTTATGCAGGGTTTCGCCAGCTTGACGGCACGGCCCTGGGACCAGGCTCCACAACGCATACAAATCCAGCAACGCTTCTCAGGGGCATTCACTTTCACAATCGCCGAGGAGGCCAGTTGATCGCACCGCATCCCAGCCGTGACGACGATGTGTCTCATGGGGTCCCTGAGAAGCCTTCTCATGCCGACTGGGACGCCTATGCATCCGCTCAGCGCCAACTGCGACTGGTCATCTCCTCGCAACTTAAGCCATCTCCTGCAGGGGTGGCCGAGGGTGGGATGGTTGTGCCAGTCATGATACTGCTGCCTCACCGAGGATGTGTTCCTGCGGCGCGGGGCGGCACGCGTCCACCTCGGCGACGCTTCGAACAGAGGAAGCACAAGAGAGGCGAGCTTGGTGAAGTGATTCACGCGCTCCTCAGCGAGCGACACAGCCTGAAGGAAAAGAGGATCAGCAGAATGATGAACTGACAACGCAGTCTTCGCATGGTGATCCACAACGGCATTAGCAACTGCATATTCACGCTCCGTCATTTCCAGAGCTTCGACCTCCTGACTGGATCGGTGTGCTTTAACATGGCGAATTCGTTTGATGAAACTCGTACCTTCTAGTGCCTGGGCAAACAGCCTGATGCCAGCAAACTTCGAAGATGCTTGCAGCTGCTTTTCGACACTGCTCTGCGCAATCGGTATGGCTGACGTGCAGTCGGCAGCAAGGACAGTTCGCCTGTTCGCCACCTGACCGCACAGCGCGATGGCAACGTGCTCCGCCATCGCTGGCGTCGGGGGGAAGGCACCGTGGACCACGCCGCGCATTCCAGCAACGGGCTCGGGCTGATCCCCGCTTGCAGGCAGCCCTGCAATGGCCCACGACGCTCGCTGGAGCGCGCGGATGGGAGGCTTCGAGCATGAGCCGTCCGAGGCAAGTCTTAAAGTCTCCTCCCCCGACAACTCAGAAATCTTTTCGGGATCCAAAGACAGCGGGCTTCCAGGAACGTCAGAAATCTCGACCTCCGACGAAACAGAAGGTTTTGGCAGACCGCTGTCTGGATAAACAAAGATGCCCCTGGTGAAAATATCCAGGTCGGGCTCTGCACGAGCCGCTTCCATGAACTCCCTTGGGACTTCAGCCTCTTCTCTAGCTCGGGCCACGTCCTCACGGGTGCACTCATAGAGTCTGTGATGGAGTGCGTCGGCCTGGCCGCAAGAACAACGACCGTCGGTGGCGTAACCCGCGCGACACCCTCTCTCGTTGGTCCACACTCCATTGCGTGCACAGCTCCGAATCAAAAACTTGGCTTTCTTGCTTAACCCCCGAGCCTTCGGCCCCACACGAGATCTAATCAGATCCAGGTGGCCCTTTGCCCTGGGGGATGACCTAAACAACTGGCTAATGTCATCTCATGTTCTCGCTGAATTCCCATCGCAAGCTGCTCGGCTAGGAGGGCGGGCGGGGTCTGATCCACTAGGGCCTGCAGCCCATTGTGATCGCACCACTCATGTGGGCCCCCGGCCTCCCAACCCGCCCTTGAGAGAGAGCACTTGCGCCGCGCAAGCCAAAGGCCCCCTCGAGGCGCGCCGCGGACCAGCCTCCGGAGGCCTCGCCGCATCCCAAACACGCAACAGCTCTCCACGGCTGGCTAGTGCTCTCAGGGGCTCTGTCGTCGCAAACCAGATCATTCTACGCTGCTGCAAGGCTGGGGCAATTGCGATTTTGAAGCTGTGGTCCCCTAACAGGACTAGCTTCGCCGACAGAGACACCCCTCCGCGGGCAGGCGAAAAAGCGCAGCTCTGCAGTCTCTGGTGGGACTTCCATTCGCTGAGGCTCAAACCTGCAACCTCGGCTCCAAAACTGCTGGCTGGTGAAGCCCCAGCTCCAAAGACTTTGGCGAACGGGGCCCCCTTTTCACCTCCTCGGAAACCTCGTCTAAAACGATTGGCTTTCCTAAGCCTCAGGCGTGCAGCTGCAAATCTATTCTTTTGTTTTGGCCTTGCTCCACGAACGGATCTCTTTAGACCTGCCGTCTCGTCCACCCCCAGGTGCGCGACGCTGTCCTTGATCGCGTCCAAGCCGACCCCCACCTCCTGGCAGATGGCCCTGCCGAGCTCCTTCGACGAGGCTATGAGCGCTACATTGTCTACGTTGAGCGTGGCATTGATGGACTTGGACATCTCACGAAACTCCATGAACGACTGCACTGCAACCCCTTTCGCAATGTGGAACGATGACTAGGCATTTCCGATGGCCGTGTCATCGATGTAGTCAAGCATGGTGACGGTGGGACAACGATGGAGACAGGCATCCATTTCCATCACTGAGTTTATCTTTATCGCAAAATCCGCAAACCCATCTCCAGCTGGAAGACCGTGCTCAGCATACAGTGGAACCTGCGCGCGATGGCGGCCGCAGCGTATGATTCGTGGCGCTCTCCAGGCGTTGTGCGCCAGCTTGAGCCAACATGTCGGGACCCCCACACGAATGCATTTCACACGCAACAACGGCAAAAGCATCGACTCGTAATACTTGGACCAATCAA